CTAGGCATTATTTTGGATAAATAGATAAAGTTTCCTATGATATTTCAACAAAAAGATAAAAATTGGAATATTTTCTAATTGAAGTTTAATGATTTTATTCTGGTTTTCTACACCTACAAATCTGGCCACCTGCTTTCCAATTTCTTAATTTCATTTCTTTTTTTTTTTTTTTTTTAAGAGGAAGAGAGTTCTTGGAAAATGCTCCTCACTTCTTCCTTCTAAGGATTTCTAGACAGGCAACACTCATTCCTCTAGTTCACATAAAGAAAAGCATTTAAAAGTAAATTTATTAGAAAAGTCGCTGCTATTGTTGTAACTTAATATTTGCAGAAGAAATCCAATTATGGCCAAGGAGCAGATTAGTCCTTTTTTTAAATCCTCATTTTCTTTGATTAAGATAGATATAATTAAAGGAAAGTGCTTTGTGAGTTAGTTAAATGGAAGAAAATACAAATTTGTTCTGCTGCTAAATGAATGGTTTGAGTTGAACAGGTTGTGTGGTACAGCTGCACTGACTGGTCACCTTTAAAATCTGTTGAAAGTCAGATCTCTGCTATGTCCCCATTATAAGGATTAAAGGGAGTATCACTAAATCCTTGTAGGAGATCTTACAGAAGGGAAATATGGCATTTATTTATGTTTTAAGCTGATTTTACCTGCCTGCACTTGTTCCCTCAGAGATTTCATTCACACAAGCAACAGGACGTGGTTGTTCAGCCTTGGCCACGATCACTTGTGTGCAACATAGACCACAAGGGATGATGGCTGTCACCAAACCTCCCAGTTTTGGGACAGTTCTTTAATAATCTTTAAGAATCGATAGTTGTTTTCTGATGGTCCTCTGCTGCCTGACTGCCAGGAGGGGGAATGGGAGATGTGAAATGCTGCCATCCTCTTGTTGTCAGAGAGGAGGCTCTCCCTCAAATGAGCTGTGGTCTTAGCAGTGGCTCAAATTTTTAGTCTCAAATTTTTTGCTGGGAATGGTGTTTGTTATAAATTCAAGCTATTCTTATCCTCCCTGATCTGCTATTTCTTCTTACGCTTACATACACAGATTTTCATGTCTACCAACCCCAATATTTTGCAAATCTCTGTGCTGATGACTGGTTCCTGCAGATCCCAGCTCTGGTTTTGAAGAGCCTCTTGGTTCTGCTCAGGACAACACACAAATGACAAAGGGCCGAGACATCCCAGCAAATTAGAATGAAAAAGAAATCGCTCACACTCCCCACCAAAAGCAGCAGTAAAATCTCACATTTAATAAATAAAATTTCAGTTATTCATTACCCATTATAATTCACACTGATGAAAAGCTGCCACGACCTCTTGACTATCTGGCTCCTATTTCTCTCACAGCAAGGTGTCACCTTCCTCCAGGAGGAAAGGTGGAGGGTCTGGACCACACCAACTCCATCCCATCCAGGCCCCTCTGCACCACGGCACCCAGCCCTGAGCTGCAGCTGCGTGTTTTAAAGGGCCTGGACAGAGGGAAGGAGATGCTTTTGAGGAATACAAACCCCTGAAACACCTGCCTTTGTAGCTGCTAGCTCTTGCTGGTGGTCTGGCCAGGCTGTTCGCGGTGTGATGGGTACATCGTGTGGCCAGAAAGGAGAAGTGCAACTTCTGTTTGACCTTTCTCTTGGGCTAAATCCTGCCTCTCGGTCCAGCTAAGCAACCAAGTGGTAAATAACTCGAATTGCCCAGCTGCTACCACTGGGGTTCATTGCTCTACAGTTCTAAGTTGACACTGAAATACATGTCACTCCAGTTTTCCCTCTGTTCCTCATTAATCCTGCCTTACATGTCATATTTTTAGGGGCTTCTCCAAAATCATGAAGAAAAAGCAGCAGCTACCTTTTTTAGGAAATATTCAGTAATAGTGCAATAGTTGCCATGATGATCTAGAAGACTGATGGAAAGTTTGCAGGCTTTTGTTACGTCTTCTTATGGCTTTAAAAAGAAGCTAAAGCAACATGGCTGAGCTTGAACCTGCTTATTTAGACATTACTAGAGCAGCTGTCCAGCTGAATGACTGGAATCCTCAGGGGCCTGCTGTAGGTCCAGGACCATAAGTAGCTGATTAGTGACACAAATGTTGGAACAGAGAAAATCTGCAGGTCCCACCTGGAGAAGGTCTGGGAAAATGGAAAAGGGTAGGGCTGAAATCCATAGCAACGTCAGAAAAATTGAGAGTGAGTCTGGGAAACAGAGGCTGGAAAGAATTAGTCAAGATAAGAGTGATTAACTGCACTAACACTTGTGGGAAATGGTAGGTTAAGGAGCAGGAGCAGGAAGCTGTGGGCAGTCAGAAGCAGGAGTCCATGCCCCGTGCTGTGAATAAGGCAGATACTGTACCAGGGTGTGTAAGTGTGGACTACCACACCAGTTCTGCTTAATCATAGCCAAGCCCATGCTGGAGTTTTGGACATGTTAAACTTCAAAGAAATGTGGCCCAAAGAGTGAGAATCAAGAGGAGAACAAGAATAGTCCAAGATGCGGAAATCCTGAAAAGAAAAGGGTTGTTAGCCACAAGAAGAGAAGGACAAACACCTGCAAACACCTTTCAGAGACAGGTTAGCAAACAGATTCCTGAGCAGTTTGTAAAAAGACGAGTTAATATTGCTCTGAATGCTCTGGGAACAAGTAGGTTGGGTCCAAGCCCTGAATTTGCTGACATCTCATCCATCCCAGACATTTGCATTGCGAGACTGAAACTTGATGCTGAAGATAGTGCAGATGCCCTGCAAGAACATATGGTGCACCTCCAGGCTTCAGGTTTCGTGGCAGAGTGTTGACTGTCTGGCTTGTAGCTTGAAACCATTCGAGGCAGAAAGAAATAACAAATCAATGTGCCAAAAGCTCTGGATAACAGCAGGTCACCAGTTATGGGCATATTAAAACTCCGGATACATACAGCTGGTGTTCATGATGGATCCAGTTCCGTACAAAAACCATGGATATTCCCACCAAGAAGGTAGCTTCTCATGTACCAGAAATACACTGCTTTCAAATCTGACCATCATAAGCAAGTCTAGTTCACGTCATAGGTATGGGGATTATTGCTGAATTGTTGCATCCACAGATGCAGAGAAATCATTTGTCTGCAAAAACCGAAGTCTGAAAGAATCCCGAGGTCCCAAATCAGCAAGAAAATATCCATGCTAGTCTTTGCCAGCCTTGAGTGAATTTGGGTAGGAGTTTGACTGACCCTGTATTATAGATCAAACAAGCCAGTTTCTCTTCAGCAGGGTTCCTAAAAAAGAGGGCCAGATGCCAGCAGAATAAAGTCGGTATTGTTTCCCTGAATTTTTTAATCATCTCTCCTTTAGACCATCAGTTGATCCCCTCCCCTTGTTTATTGACACCCACTCAGCGTGAGCCCAAGGAGAGAGAGGGGAAAGATTTTGCGGCTCCTTTGGCTGTTCTCGTAGACATCCTGGCACTTGTTTGATCGGGGGCGGAACAGGACACGAACCTTTCCTGCCGGGGCCGAGACCGCAGCCGGGTGCTATTCAGCTCCCAGAACAATGTCTGGCAGCTTGCGAGTAATTTAAACCCGGCTAAAAACAGCCGAGCCTGGGGATGAATCATGACCCATCCGTGTGTGCTTCCGCCTTCCCACTCGCCTGCATCAGCACGGCCCCTGCTGGCTCCCTGGAGAATAAGCCATAAACAGCATTTTAAAGGGCTTTTCCTTCACAAGGGCTTTGCCTGTGTGAATTCCAACAAAAAGCCGGCTCTCCAAAGTCTTGCGTCCGAGGCAGAGGGATGTGCAGCCCACCCGGAAGACCTGCTGCAACGTTGATCAAAGAGACCCCAAATGCAGAAATACTGCACAGGAACAGAGGTGATCTGGGCTTTTTTTTGGGCTGTGAGTTCTCCTGAGAGCGTTATACTGCAGCATTACAGCTCTGCTTCGGGAAGCAACCCTGAAAAAGGTATTCCCACTGTGTTTCTCAAGGGAGAATGTAAATGGGGCTGGCTCCGTTGAGTTCAACAGGCCACAGCCACTGGGAATCTGGACTATAACACAGGGGTGGAATAGCTGGAACATGCTGCAGAACCCAAGGAGTGTGACTGGTCCTTCCTGGCCTAAAGCTGGGAACAATGTTGTCCAAAAAGCACTTTATCAGTTAACTGACATGTAGGGAATTTCAGCGTTACCTAGGAAATAGATAAGCTATTCCTAGATATCTAGGAAAGCTCCAGAGCAGGTGACAAAAACAAAATCCAGAATCAGCCTATGGACGGCAACAATGGGAAAGGTTAGTATTTTCTCTGGGATACGGGAACATGTCTGCTCCATCCACCAAAGAAGGGTCTGGCCAGGTACAACCCCCAGAGCAGCCTGCTTTAGTGTGGCACCAGGATCTTCCCAGAAAGCCACCCCAAGGGCAGGGCATGCCCGGCATCCCACAGGGATCATCCTTGAGACAGACCCCCTTGGGGGGGTGTCCTCCGCTACCCCAGTGGGTGGTCTTGCACCGGCACCTCCTCCTGGAGCAGTGCTTGGAGAATGCCGGGATTCATTCGCCCGTGGCTCGCGCAGTGCCAATTTTAGCGGTTTCCCACCCCTGGAGCAGCGCGGAAACGCCTGGGAAGGTCAATATATGGGATACGAGTAAACACCCCGGGGTTGAGACAAGCACCTCAAGGGTGTCCCGGGAGACGCTCCTCAGGTCCCCGGTGACAAGGGGATCGCGAGCGAGGCCGGGATTGAGATGAGGCCGGGACGCGGCCGGGGCAGGGGGCGTGGCCTGGTCGGCGGGGGGCGTGGCCTCCTCGTGTCGGCCTCGCCCCTCCCGCGAGCGGGGTCAGCACCGGCCGAGGGGCGGGGCCGCCCCGCGCGCTCCGCTCCCATTGGCCGCCGGGGCCGCGGGGGCGCTCGCGCCTACACCACCCGGCGCTCCCATTGGCTGCGCGCGCGGAGGGGGCGGGGCGCGGCCGTCGCTCGGTGAGTGAGGGACGGGGCGCGGCCTGAGGGGCGTCCCGGGGGCGATCCCGGGGGTCCCGGGAGACTTTCCCTTGGGAATCCCGGCACCCGGCAGCGCGGGGCACCCCGGGGTGCGCCGCCTCCTCGGTGTCGTTGCCGCGATTTCTTATCTTTTTGGTTCATTGCTGGTTTTTTTTGCAGCCGCGGGAAGGCTTCTCGGGCAGAGAGGAAAGGAGCGGAAAATCCCAAGCCGCGGATCCCGCGGGATCTGAGAGGCCAGAGCGGTGTGGGTTTGTCTCAGAAAACAGCCCCCAAAATGCTCCCCAGCCAAAGCGGAGCTGGCGGGAGGCGGAAATTCCATCAGCATCCGCTGCGCTCGCCGAATTCCATGAGCCAAGCGAGACCCGCGGGCGGTGGGAGCCGCTCCATGGGATAGAGCCCTCGTTGTCCGCCGGCAATTTTGTGGCGCCCTGGGGCCGGCAGGGCCCTCCTGACGGCGTGAAAAAGCTCAGGGATTGCCTTTCAGGAGAGATCCCTGCGGACCTCCCCTGTTGGAATGAATGAAACAGCGACTTGTCTTCATCTCTTATCTAAAAACCCGCCCGCGGGTCCTGTTTCTGTGTCACTGCCGAGACAATTGAGGGTTCGGGTGTAGCTGGGGTTTTCTGGCTGTTTTCCCGTGCGTTTGAGGCCAGTGGAAAGTCTCCACCGCGCCCAAAGCTGTGGTCGTGCATCCCTCTTCAGTCCTGCCCGAGGATTTGGGATTGCTTCTTCCTGCCCTGAGGGTTGATCTTGGTGCGCCGCTGCCGCTGAATTTTTGTGGGTTTGTTGGAAAATGGTGAGGAACTTTGTTTTCTAGTTGTTTGTGTAGTTGAGAGTTGCACGTCGTGGCAGTAGCATTGAACAGCACTTTGCTGTTAAATGTGACTTTTTGCCTGATTGTTCTGTGTGTGGGATGTGTGTGACATCCCCATCTCCTATGCATCCAGGTGTGGTTCTGTATCCAGCTCCCCCTGAAGTTAATTGAAATCGTCTGCCTGAATTAGAGACTTTTGAAAATGCAGTGAGATCCCTGGTGTCCCTTTAAATACCCTTACAAATCCTGAAATAAGCAGATTTACTCTCACCCCTGTGTACTGGCAGGTTTCCTGGTTTCTCTTTAGCTTCCAATTAGCTTCTGGAGATTTAATGGACCTGTGAACCAGCACTTGCTCTTTTTTTTAAAGACCAGTGGCATCACAGAAATGTAAATCACTGCATGCTGTCTCCACAAGATAATAAGTGATCTTAAGTTCAGAATATTCAACCTTTTCCTCCTCCACACGGTTACGAAAATAACAGATGGGTCATGACCTGTAGGTTTTATTTTATGTTGCTTAACACTTGCTTTTCAGATTCAAGATCAAGCTTCCATGTGGTTTTTTTATAGTTGTTAAAACAATTTGGCTGACACCTGACTCGAGCCACTAAATCTGATGGAGATAAAGATGTCCAACATCACTTTGAACTCAACGTGGCTTCTTCTTAAAGAATCTTTATTTTAAAAATAAAGAGGTACTGAGGTCGATGGTTAATTACTGCATGTGCACTTTGAAACTTTACAAGCTGCTTTGATGCCTTTTTAGGCTTTTCTTTCTTTTATATATATATTTTTTTAAATCACTACCCGCCACAGGGGTAGGTTTATTGATTACATTTATTTCAGTGAGCCCACATTTTTGTTTGGATGTACAACCTTTCTGGGGGCAGAAAGAGAGTGATGCTGTCGATTAGGGATAACACGACGTGCGTGGGGTTGTGTTTGGTAGCAGTTAAGCAATGGAGTGGGGGACTCCAGGTGTGGGGCTGAAGGAGAGGGCTGGCAGAGCCCAGGCTCGTCCTCCCCGCAGCTGCTGCCGTGCTGAATTTAGCTGCCGGCCCTTGGGAAGGGGGCAGGCAGCTGCAGAGCTGTCTGTGTGGGGATTTGGTCTCCCCTGGAGACCCGGCGCGTCGTCCCGCCGCTCTTTGTTCCCGTGCACGGGCTGTGCCCGTGGGAAAACCCCGCTTGTCAGAGGAGTGGATCATAAAACTTGTGACAAAAGAGCTGAGTGAGTATCAGCTTGTCTCCCACTTCCAAGTACTGTTTGGGAATTCTTTCTTTCCTCCTCTTTTTTTTTTTTTTTACAGTTCTTTGTAGTTTGCTGTTGCTGCTCCCTTGGTCTGTCGGTTGGCACTGGCTGGGTGAGTCCCAGCAAAACCACTCTGCCGGCGTTGTCCTACTGGTTTGGGCTGGAATTGCTGGAAGAGGCCGTATTGGGTCTCCTTGATTTGGTTTATAGGTTGTCCTGCAGCAGCTCCTCACTCAAGCCCAGCGTGGGGAGCTGGAGGGAGGAGTGGAGCATCTCCATGTGTGGAGCATCCAGAGCTCAGGCTTTGAGTGGAACACCTCAGGTTAGAAGGTTTTGCAGCAAGGTGCACTGGGCTTGGCTGTACAGCACGTGGGAAAATGTCATCAGCCGAGAAAGTAGTTCCATTAATTAATTTCACAAAGAATTAATTTCATGAACTGAGGTAGAAGCTGCAGGTTTGAGTTTTACAGCCTCCTGCCTCCCACTCTGACATTTTATATCTACTTGCTTCTGGGTGGCTTCCATTTCAAGGTTTTGAATCTTTTGTATCTTTAAAAAACCCTCAGCTCTCCACCCCAACAGCCCCCAGGGCTCAGCCACGCTTGTAGGTGCTTTATGTCCTAGTTAAGGATGTCTCATTTGGGCTCAGTGACCTCATGGTGCACAAACTGTTGGTGAAATTGGCCATTAATTCAGGACTCTGTTTGCACTCTGCCAGAACAAACCCAAGTTAGTTCTCAATGTGGCCAGGGCTTTAGTTAGATTTTCCCTGTGTGTGTCACATCCTTGAAACCAGATAACGCTGCTGAGATGTGAGGGTTTGCTCTTTCCTCTGTCCCATTTGACACACCAAGATGCTCCTTTGTGAATTTTAGGGTCTGACCCAGATCATGCTTGAGCTCTTTGTTACTAGGGGCAAACCCAATTTCTTTACTTGCTGTGGAGATGAGGGGGGATGATGAGTTGCCCTTACTGTGTGCTGTGTGTTCCAGAGAGCCCGAGGCTAGGTGTCCTCTTGCAGAAGAAGTTCTATCCTAATGGCCGTGGATGTGGGAAAGTCCCTTTCTGAAGCCTCTCTGAGCGGGAATGCCGAGGATGATGGTAGTTGGGACTGCACGGAGGTGGAGGTGGGCAGCCTGGAGCTGACGGACAGCCTGCACCGGCTCTCAGGGGCAGAGGAAGCCAAGCCCAGCCTGCAAGGGATGGATGTGACAATGAGCAGACATGGTCACTTGGCCACTGGTGTCACTCAGGGAGACTCCAGCTGCCACCCAGCAGTGTCTTCAGCATCTGCACCCGGATTTTTCAGAGCAAGAGCAAACCTTTCAGAGAAAGAGACGCTGATTTGTCGAGGTGCTGCTGGTGATGATGTGCCTCCAAGTGTCAGCCACTGGTTCCTCTCCTCAGAAGAGCAGCAGGTGAGAGGGTTGTGTGTACAGGTGTTGCTGCACCACTGGGAGGTCCCAGGCGAGGTGGGGACTTGTTTGCCAGGGCTGTCCTAGGAAGGGCTTTCCATCTCTTCCTGCCGGAGTGTGCCCACCCCTGCCCGGGTTAGGATGTGTGGTGGGAAAAGGCTGGGGCTCCAGCACCCAAGTTGTTGCTTCCATTCCCATATTGCCACCGCAGAGCTGGAAAGTCGCTCAGGACAGTGCTCCTTAAATAAATGCCTCTTGCTGCCAAATGACTCCTGCAGCTTCCCAAGCCCTCGAGATGCCTTTCCTTAAGATCAAGCCCCACTCTGGGCTCTGAGCAGCTGCAGGCTGTCCCACAGACGGCACAGAGCTCCACTTCCAGCCTCAGCTCATGGCAGGTCCAGGGCTGGGCTTTTATCTCCATATCCTGGATATGTGTGGATGTCTTTGTCTGGTTGCTTTGCTTCATTTTATGCATATCTCTCTCTCCCTTTCCTTTTCCACCCTGTCCTTGAGCAGGTGAAGCCATCGGGCTGTTGGGATCCGGCATCCAGCCCTCCCAGCCGAGGCAGCTCTGCAGAGGAGAACATCCTTCCTGACAGCTGCCACGACGCCCCTGTTGGCCATCGGAGACAAAGTCTGGGAGCCCAGTCCTCATCTCCCTCCACCCCAGAGCTCCTGCAGCCCCAAACCCCCCCCAGCCCAGGGAGCGCCCTGCGGAGCCGCTCCATGTTGAGCCTCTCCGCTCTGTCTTCGGGAAAGAGCGGCCTCTCCAAGGAGCCGTCGGGAAGCTTGCCAACCAGCATGGATGTCCCTTCTCCAGCAGCCACCATGGCCACTATGGCCACCAGGGACGTGTGGTGCCGACAGGGAGCAGCAGAAGGCAGGGCCCTGCAGGTGCCTTTCCTCGATTGCCGCACCACTGTGGAGCACATCCGGGAGGTCTCCTCCTACCAGTCCGATTACTGGGCCTGTGCCATCCCGGATTCCTTACCCCCATCTCCAGACCGTTGCTCGCCCCACTGGAACCCCAACAAAGAATATGAGGACTTGCTGGATTATGCTTATCCGCTGAAGCCGAGGTACAAGCTGGGAAGGATGCCAGAGCCTGTCCTCCATGACTCAGGAGTAGGCCTGGACAGCTTTTCTGCTTCTCCTGAGGGCACGCTGAGGTCCACCAGTATCTATGGCCCCCGAGGTGGGCAGGCTCAGAGAAGCAGAGAAAATGGACATTGGGAATTGGTGGCCTCTGCAGAGAGATTCTCCACCCCAGGGCCTGGAGAAAGCGGCTGCTCGGGAGCCGGATTGTTCTATGAACCTTCACCTATTGCCAAAGCATCCTTTGCAAGAAGTACTTCCTCTCGTCCTTCCAGAGGTTTTGCTAAGGATGTAAGGATGGAGTCAGGTGGGCCAAGTTCACCTGGGCACGCTGCTGTGGATGGGAGGAGCTGGTGTTCCAGAGGGAGCCCTTTCCCAAACCTCACAGGGCAGGCGAAAAGCACTGCTAGGTTTTTACCTATCACAGGTGTGCTCCCCCTGAGAAAGGAGTGGGAAGGGGATGAAGAATTTCTTTCCCTACCTCCAAGACTGCAGGAGCTGGAAAGACTGGCTCATTTTCTGTCCAGTCTTTCCTTAACTGTAAGGACGCCCAGGCACGACCACCATAACCTGCCACGTCACAGGCAGCCCCTTTCATCTGGGCTGGCTCCTTTTGGAGAAGCGAGTGGCAGGGACAAAAGAGGGAACACTGAGAGTTATGCTGGGCGGTGGCAGCCCTGCAGCTCTCGAAAGCCCAGCTGGGAAAACACAGAGTCGTGTGGCTGGATCCATAGGGATCCCCTCCGGGGGCTTCATCTACCGACCGGTCTCAGGGACACGTTGGATGGGATGTACCGAAATGAACCACGGGTCAAGGGACATCCAATGAAGAGCCAGCAGAGCGAGTCCCTTGTCCAGTGTGTCAAGGTAGGCTGAGACCAGAAATAAAGTTTATTGTGGGAGGATTTCACATAAAACATACCTGGTCTTTATGGCACAATTAATTAAGGCTTCCTGTGCTGCATGATGTTGTGCTGCCTGGCAGCTGGTACTAATTTATGCAGGGGGGATCACCGGAGCAGATAATTCCTTCTGATGGAGCAAGAGCCTGTCTTGCTTTTCCTGGGGCTCAGTATCACAGGGCCAGGCTCGGTGGAGATGTGACTCTCAGCTTCCCCCCATCCTGCAGTGCTGGTGTACCAGGGAAGAGGCAGGAGCTGCAGCAACTGAGGAGTTTCCTAATTATTTTGAGAATTTTTATAATTTGAGTAAATGATGTCTCATGGCCATCCTGCCACCAGTGCTCTGCTCCCTGGCAAGCAGGCATTGCTCCCCACCTTCCTCTCCATCTTCTTCCCCACCCCAGTGCTGGGGTGAATTTGGAAGTGATGCTGGGCTGTTTGCAGGAGAGTAATGATTATCACTCACATAGCTGCAAACTCATCCCCTCCTCTTGCATGGGAATAACTCTGCTGATTTATAAGGGTCTTTTCTGTATCTGCCACCCCAGATTGCCAGGGAAAAGCAGCTTTATGGCAAACCCCTGATGAGCAGGAGCAGGACTTGAGTCTGGTTTCAGTGCCAGCAGAGGCCCCTGGGTTTCATGCAGCATCTTACAAAAATAATCCCGCACCGAGATGCTTTAAAAATAAATGAAAGCACTTAATTGAACGAGACAAACCCCTGGGGAAAAGCAACTGCAAATTAGCTGCACAGCTCCAGTGAGGAGGAGGAGGATGAGGGTGTCTCTTGGGCTGCGAGGTGGCAGAGGCCAACCTCTTCCTTCCGCCTGGGTGCTACCAGCTTCCAGCACCTCTCCATGCAGGCATTTCATGGTGACCCTCAATTCTTGCCACACAGTGGTGTAGGGGGGGACTTGTCTCCGTTGCAGCAATAGATCTGTGACCCCTTTTTTGTGCTTTGTTGAGTAGATGTTTTGCTGCCAGCTGGAGGAGCTGATCCGTTGGCTGTACGACGTGGCCGATGTCACCGGCAGCTGGGTGCCCCCCTCGCCGGATGCCGGGAGCGTGACAGCATCGCTGCACCGCTACCTGGTGGGTATTGGCTTTGCTTCCCCCTCTCCAGTGGGAAGCAAGGCACCTCTGGAATGGTCTAGGGTGCATTGGGTTTGCAAAGACAAATTTGGGAGCGCCAGGAACCTGCTCAGGGGAAACTGCTCCCTGGGCGACCTGTGTCTATTCCAAAAACCCTTTTAAGCGATGCTGCTCCTCTCCTTTCCTTGCCAGGAGTTCAGGAAGGATGTGGCCAACCACCGGAGCCTGACGGAGAGCGTGCTGGAGAGGGGAGAAGCTCTCCTGGACTGCATGGCATCAAATTCCCCGGGTGAGGAGGGAGTGCTTGAGTGGGGCTGGTCATGAACGCAGCTGGTGATGCTTGTATAGCATCTGCCCCCCAAAATTCCTGGCCCCACATGTCTGGGGATGGGTCAGCAGTGGGAAGGAAAAGGGTTTTTTACACCTCTGTTGCTGCCCGGAGACCTGGAGGTGAGGTGAGGTGGAAGTTTGAAGCCATTACTCCCGAGTGCTTGGGCTGCACCGTGCCTTGACCCTGGCCTTGGGCCCTGCCATCCATCAAGGGTGATGGATGTTCCTGCCTCTTAGGGGTCCTCTAGGTTATCCCAGAGGCAGCATGGCCAGCTCCCCCTGGGCTGTGGATGGAGCTGGGAAGAGATGCTGTTTTCCAGGGCAGGAGAGGGTGATTTTAACACGCCATTTGCACTCGGTGCATCCTGTGCTGGTGTCAGCAGCCAGTCTGGGGGCACAGCCCAGCCTGGCTGGTGCCCTGGTGTGTGTGGAGCAGTTTCTCTGGAAACTTGGTGCATCCTGCACAAGGGCTCTCTAAAGGGTGGGCTGTACCTGCAGTCACTAGAGGGGCTTTAGAGGCCGAGTGCTGTGTTATGGATGGGCTTTCTTACCCAGTCCCAAAGGTTTCCCTTATTTAATGAAGATAATGCATCTTCATTAATCTGGAGCTTCCTAAGTCGCTTCCCACCCCCTCCAAACTCTGCATCACAATGTTGACAGGGTGAACATCAGATTATTGATTTCTAACACTCCATTTCCTTCAAAAGCTCTGCCTGGGTGAGCAGAGCTCTCTCTTTCTGCTCTTACAGACATTGAATTACCACATTACTACCACCTCCATTCATGTTTTTTGTTTTCCAGCTCTGAAAGACACGCTGGGTTTGATTGCAAAGCAGTCAGAAGAGCTGGAAAGCCATGCAGAGCACCTGTACAAGTCCATTCTTGCTGCTGTGGGTCCTGTGCAGGGCAAGGACGAGGTGGAGGACGAGGGAGATGCAGCAAAAAGCTGCCCCGTGGGTAAGCAGGGGGGCAAACCAGCCTTTCTGCAGTGGGGGAAGAGGGAGGGAAGCATAGGGAGAGAAACAAATTAGCAAACACTGCATGTCAGGGTCTATTGTTATTTCTTTGAATGTGATGTTTGGAAAGCAAGGGAGGTCTCAAAATGGATGCCCCGTCACCTTTAAATGGGCAGCTCCTCGGAGGGACCCAGCAGGGAGGGTTGGGGGGACAGCAGCAGCAGCAGCAGCAGAGGGAAGATGAGGAAGGGGTATTTTTTGGCTTTATGTTTTCTCAGAAACATTGTGGTTGCCATATAATGGTGGGAAAGGGAAGCAAGCGAATTTGGGTGTAAAATAGGGGCTACAAAACTTGTTTGCTGATTTCTTGACTGTCTTCCTTCAAATAGAACTGGAGAGACAAATGTTTCAGGAGTGTCAGCCTCTCACAACAGGATAATATCTTAAGTAGTGTTTGTTTTCTGTTTTTTTTTTAATTGATACCTATACCCAGCTGTACCCTATACACTGTGGGAGTAGCCAAAGAAGGTTTTTCTCTGTTAAACTGCAGCCAAAGTACAGTAACAAACACCCCATTTTATTTCAGATGATGCTGCCTCTGTCAGACCTGGACTTCGTTAGCCCGTCTTGGGAGGGCTGAGAAGAACTGCAGCAAGCACCAAACCACCTCCATCAGCACTTGCTGCAGAGATGCCAAAATGTGTTCAGTGAGCCCACCAGGGCTCGAGAAAGGTGTGTTGTACAGCAGGCGCTCTGCTGCTGGGACGTCTGGAGTCGTGTAAGGAATGTACAGCTGGCCTTTTTCTGGTTTGTTTTTTTAACATAGCTTTCCTTTCTTTATTGAAGTGGCCTGTTCCATGTGTTAGCAGAATGTCAGGAACAGAGTTTTTTAACTGAGTAATCCATAGTGTTGCCATGCAGCTCCCTGCCAAGTAAAGCCGTGTGATTTTAATAGCCCAGTTCTCATGTTTTGTTTATGCTCGTCAAAAATAGGTGCCAGAAGCCAAGAAATAGCAACTCCTTCTGGTTCTTGGGAGCAAACTGAAGGTCTATTTATATTTACCACTCCCTGCTGAAGCAGAGCCTATTTAACTTTCAATTTTCTTATGCATAAACACAAGCCAAAATAGCGAATCTCAATAAAATAATAAACAGGCCAGGGAGAACCAGGTTCTGTATAATCTGGTGTCACCTGCTGTGGGCTGTAGCTGTGTTGGTGCTGTGCTGGTTTCCCCTCTTACAGCCACTGCAGTTAACCACTGCTCGCAGAACAGCATCAAGGTTTTCCACACCCTTTCTGTAATAGAAAGGGCATCTCTGAAGCAGCACAACGAGGTAAGTGGCCAAACAAAGTTACAGCATGTTGGTACTCGGCTTTAATTAACCTTTAAACTAAATGGTGAGCGGGGTTTTCTTGTGCAGAAAGCATCACTTCCTCCCATTCCTGTGAACACAACACAAGTAGAAGGTAAAAGCACAGGTAAACTGAAGCACCTACAACAAATAATTCATTGGAGTTTTTGGAGGTTTTTTGGATACTCTCCCATCTTCTGTGTCCTAAGCCTCACAGGCAATTTTTTTTTGACCCATCATGTCAAAAGTATTTAGTATTTCAGCTCACAGGTAAGAGACTACAGTGCCCTTTTCCAGGACTCTAGGCCTGCTCTGCCCTCACACCTCAGCCTGAAAACCACAAGCTTCAGCAGCACCAGCAAAGTCATGACTGAGGGGGGAACAAATAACCACCAAACACCTGGTGTAGCCCAAGTTGGTTTTGCAATGCTTTTATTACTGTATATATTAACATTGGTTTGGATAGTATGTAGCAGGCATCTCGACATTGAAGTTCATTTGTGCACTCTCTGAAGGGAAGATGTTTTACCCTCAACACAACCTCCTTCTGCTTCGCTTCCTGATCTGGGCAGCGCTCGCTGCTGCTCCTGCTCTCGAGGAGCAGCCACTCACATTTATAATGAATTATACCAACAAGCACATCTCTACTAGAAAGCACATCACTTTATTGTGAAGGTCTCAAGTGGAAGAGTTCAACTTAACCATGACAATACTTTATGTATTACAATTGCCTGTTGATTTATGCAACTATGTTGAAGAAAGCTGTTAGCCAAAGTCACCCCCCCAAAAAAAAAAAAAAAAATCAGAGGATATTTGCACCAGTTTTAGTTTATACCTCACAACATACCTAGGCTATATTTTTACTATCACAGGGTGTATTTACTACTAGGGGAATGTTACATGGTCTTTCAAACATGAGACTATTTACAGAATAGGCTGAACATTTGAGTTTAGATAAAGCTGAACAATTTTACATGTATAGGAAGTGTTATAGGCTAGCTTTCCTGTGGCTTTTAGCTAGACATCAGGCACTAATGATTTGATTAGCTCTGTACAAAGAATCACACACCATCCAAAACCTCTTGGCTGCTGGTTAGTTCCAAATTATTTGAGATAGCGCCTACTTTGAGCAACAGTCTGGTGGGGGGCCCTGCTGCCCCCATGTCATCCTCCTGGTGCCTCGCTGCAGAACAGAATAGAAGCTAAGCTGTTGCACTAAGTCAGAAGAGTATTGATTAAAAGAGGATGGAATTAACAGTATATAGAAAAGACATAATATACTGGTAGAAAGTTACACCTCCTCCAGGTTACGCTGCAATCACTCGTGTTAGGGAAATACTGTTCTCTCCCCTACTACGCAAAGCTGTCGGGAATCCCCTAAGTGGAGTCCTTGAGAAATAAATTAAGTTCCAAGACTAAGTTAGGGAACTGTTGTACATTCAGAGTGCATTATGCCTCCATGAACATTGGCTGGGTGTTTCTAGTACAGCACACGTGCCTTAAGCACCACGACAGCTCAGGCTTTGGGGCCGCAGCCACTGGTTTGAGTTGCAGGGAAGGTCTCTGGTCTATCAGGAGGTCTGAGAGCCATGGCTGCACACACAGATATGTTTTGTGCACAATGCAAGCCTGATTTCCCCCTTAGCCATACAAATTAAGACAATATTTATCACCATACAGTTTGATATTACTTCCAATAAGTACAATATTTATTAAACATTTCTTCAGTTTTGTTACATATTGTGCAACAAATTACAATATTCTGCAGCCACAAATTATATGCAGAGTATGAAGAAACTATTAATCAGATAGTGTGATCTCTCCATTTATAATTCTACAAGAAGGAACTAGCAAATCAGATCTTACATATATCTTACTAAATTTTATGCATGGAAAGTGACAGACACTGTTGTGCTGTTTGATACAAAATGGCTAAACTTCATCTTCAGAAGACTAAACCTGACATCTAAACATGCCAATAGAAACATCAAAACAAAAATACATCCTAACCAACCACAGGAAACAGTCTGGTATCAGGAAAAGCAACAAGGATTACACGTTTATAAACCAGCACACAAAGGTTTAAAACAGTTCTGAAAATGAAGTTAGCTGTCTTGAGTCAAGGGAATAAAAAAAGTCAGTATTGACCATTTACAATCTCTGACCTTTGTGGAGACGGTAAGAATCTGTTGTAGTGCAGCTACATACAGTACAATTCAGGCAATTTTTTTTTTTCACTTGGGTTCAGATTGCAAATTCATTGTTGTGAGACAAAAGGGGGGAGGCAAGTTTTAGCAGCAACCTCCACTAGACTGCTTGACTGGAGTGCTCTGAATTTTAACATTGGACTTCTCTGCACCACCAGCTGTCGCTCCCGGGCCCATTCGTTTTTTAATCTCAGCAGCCATGGTCATGAAAGACTGTTCTACATTTGTGGCATTCTTTGCACTGGTTTCCAAAAAGGGAATTCCAAGAGAATCTGCAAATTCCTGCAAATTGAGAAACAGTGAACAGTAAGCTCATACACAGGTTCATAGCTCACCTCCTTTCCTGGTGCACTGCCGGATAAGCCACAAGTTCCTGGATTCCACCCCACCCCCCATCTCCAGTCTGACCTGCAGGGCAGGGGGTCATTAAACTGCCCCCATTTGTGTCACCCTGACATCCATGTACCACAGCACTTCCCTGCTCTAGCAGCTCTGTGCATTATGAACCAAAGCAGGTGCTCACCAAGCAAACACAGCTGTTTGTATCCACATACCTTTGCTGTTGTATAGTCTACTACTTTCTTTGTGGTCAGATCACATTTGTTCCCCACCAACAACTTGTTGACGTTTTCACTGGCATAACGGTCTATCTCCTGCAGCCACTGCTTTACATTATTGAAAGACTCCTGTGAGATAAGAGAACTGTAAGCAAGGCCCTGGGAGAGGGAAGTTCAGCACTTTGGTAATGACCAGGAAAGAACAGGAAGCAGTGCCCTGACCAATGTGATTCACAACCACGGGAGAGAACTCTCTAATGCTGCCATCCCTGATGGCCTCAGGACAGCCCAGTCACCACATGGTCTACACAGCTCCTGCTCCAAGCCCTACACAATCAGCCCTTCTTGCACTCCTCCCCCCCATTATTTTCCCAGCTCTTGAATATCTTGAATATTAAAGAGCTTCTACCATCTGGGACTCTTCTTCCTCTTCCTGTAGCAGAGACACAGCTGAAACCAGAAGAATCCCACAAATTTACAAAGCACCAGGTATCAGGTGCAAACCACCTTGTAGATATGCTGGAACAACCTCTGACTGCAGAAATGCTGGATCAATATTCCAGTTAGCAATTGAACACAATTGTTCTTTTTCTATTAATGAAGAAACCCTACACTTCCCAAGCGCCCTTCCAACAGGACAACTGCACCAGTAATCTTCAGAGATCCTTTCACAGAAAACACTGGCTCAGTTGTGTCCTACACACATGCTGACAATTTTCTGTTCCAAATGCCCATTTTTACTGTAGACCAAAGTTCAAGTACATTCAGAAATCTTTCAACAACTTCCATCAGTAACTCAGACTTCCTGCTACCAAAGGCAGGGTGAGAAGTATTCACACAGAACAATCAGTTACCTGCTCAGCAAGTTTGAGGTTAAGCCTAAATTGTTTTAGAGCCACAAATCCCACTGCTCCTTTTATTTCTGTGTTCAGCCCCAAACCCTGCATAGGAATGTATACACTTGGCTTGATAAACCTCAATGCAGCCTGGAGAACTGTGCCACTGTCTCCTTAAGATGTGCTCAGTTGTTAAATTCCTGGGTTTATTTACTTATCAGCCTGGAGAAACTCTCCAGGCACAGGTTTTAACACTTACCTGATCTGTAACATCATACACAACTATGATGCCATGAGCTCCTCTATAGTAACTGGAAGTGATAGTCCGAAACCTCTCCTGTCCCGCCGTGTCCCACTACAAGACAAGTAACAGGGTCAGTCACCGCAGTGTGGCTGTGCCAGAGTTACACAGCAGCTTCCAACAACACAGCTCAGAGGATCAGCCACCCAACTACAACCAATCCAAGTCACAGCTGCAGAAGTGGCTCTGAAACTGTGTGCATCAAACAGGACTTGAGGAGATCAAGTATTTTAGCTGAGAATTGCACCTGGGTAGCCACTTTTCTCAAGTGCTCGTTTCCTTGGTTTCAGCCAAGGGTGGCCAGGAGATCTCTCTGAGGAGAACATGAAGCAGTTTTAACCCATGGAGAAGCCATGGTTCAGTGCTCAGAATAACAAACACAAACCAGGGCTTGGTTAGAAAGAAGGTCGGAGCTGCAGGTCTCCAACATGACCACTCCCTGCAACGTCCTTGGCACAGGAGCTCCAGCAAAAGTATTTAAAGGCAACAACTCAAACCAAACCCAGTTCTCTTCTCCTGCTGTGAGACTTAAGGAGGGATATTAGGTGCTTGACCTCTTCCCCCACCCAGGACAGGAACGGCACTTGCCCAAACAGCTCCCTGGAGCCGTGTCAAGAATAGGGCTGGCAGCATGTTAGAAACAGTCAGACTCAGACCAATTCAACAGTGACAGCATTCCTAGTGGGCCGCTCTATACTCA